TAAAATATCTATGTTACAATTTAAAATTGCACGTTTAGCCGTGCGCCATAATATTTTTAATCCTCTTCTTAATGCAGGACGTTTAACGCAACAATATATAGTAGACTCATATTTACAAGTAGAGGCCAATAACATTAACTATATAAAATATAATCAGAATAAGCTTCGTGTAGAAGAATATTCAGGTTTAATGGATTTTTTAGTAACTTCATGTTCCACTTCAATAGAATCTCCAATAGGCCGCCCTATTATTCTACCTTCCTCATTTCAAGGGTCTCCCAGGAATATGCAAGAACGGTATCATGATGCTATGACTATTGTTTTAAAATATGGTAGACCTGATTTATTCATAACTTTTACTTGCAACCCTACTTGGTCAGAAATAAGTGAAAATCTATTTGCCGGCCAAACAACAACTGATAGACCAGATATAGTATGTCGAGTTTTTAAAATAAAATTAAATGCATTTATATCGGATATCCTTAAGAATAAAATATTTGGGACATCTTTAGCTTATGTGTATACAATTGAATTTCAAAAAAGAGGCCTACCACATGCCCATTTGTTAATTATATTGAGTAAAGAGAATAAAATTGAAACATCGGAGGCAATAGATAACTATGTTTCAGCTGAAATACCTGATAGGCTAACAAATCCAAAATTATTTGCTATTGTAACACGCTGCATGATACATGGCCCCTGTGGCATAATAAATCCCCAATCTCCGTGCATGGATAAAGGCATGTGTACCAAAAATTTCCCCAAGGATTTTCAAAATGCCACCAAATCTAATATTAATGGCTACCCCTCATATAAAAGAAGGAATTTGGCTCCAATTTTAATATCTAAGAAATGGGTAGATAATAGATTTGTTATCCCGTACAATTCTTATTTACTACTAAAATATAATGCGCACATAAATGTAGAAATTTGTACTTCAATTAAATCGGTTAAATATATTTTTAAATACGTATACAAAGGGTATGATTGTGCTAATGTAGTTTTAAATGTCGATTCTCCCCCTACTAAATATGACGAAATTAATAATCACATAAATGCACGCTATGTAAGCTCATGTGAAGCTATGTGGCGCTTATTAGAAAACCCCATGCATGATCGTTCTCATGCAATTATCCGTTTAGCAGTACATATGCCATTTAAACAGTTAATTTATTTTCAACAAGGACCTGAAAAGTCGGCCATGGAAAGAGCTATTTATAAAAATACAACCCTTACTGCTTGGTTTATTTTAAATCAACTTTCTCCTTGCGCTAGAAAAACCTTTATGGTGATATACCCTACCATTATATTTTTATAAATAATGCCTGGCAAGATTGTAAACGTGGCCATAAATCTATTATAACACGTATGTATTCTACAGATATCAAATGTGGGGAACGCTTTTATCTTCGTCTACTTCTTCTCCACGTGCCTGGAGCTACGAGCTGAGTTTTTGCGAACTGTAGACGGTATATTATTAAACATGTTTAAAGATGCCGCTATTAATAGATCATTATTATGCGATGATAACGAATGGGAAAAATGTCTAGATGAGGCCTCTTTATTTCTAATGCCATCTCAATTACGCCACACTTTTGCTTTTATATGCGTTTTCGGCCATCCTCAAAATCCTACATCTTTATGGTTGCGTATAAAACCTTTATTAATAGAAGATTTTTTGCAATATAATAATGAAATCATAGCAACCAATTTGGCTTTACATATATTTTAACAACTCTCAGTGTTCATGGGTACAATTGTAAAGATTTTAATCTTCCTACTCCTGACCCTATCCCTCAATCTAATTTATATGATGCTATAATAGAGGCAGATACTGCATGTGTAATGGTAGCTAATCTTAATTTATTACAGCGTAACGCTTTTGATAAAGTTATCCAGGCTATTGCCGATCCCTCTTTTACACCTAAATATTTTTACATAGATGGTCCCGGTGGATCAGGCAAAACATATCTGTACAATACTCTCATGCATTATCTTAGAGGACAACATAAAACTGTCATACCATTTGCTACCACAGGTATATCTTCTATCCTTCTTATAGGTGGAAGAACTATCCATAGTGGTTTTAAAATTCCAGTACCAATTTTAGATACATCCGTTTCACGCATGAAAACTAATTCAATAGAGGCTCAGAAACTTAAAAATGCACACTTAATAATTATAGATGAAGTAAGTATGATGACTAAACATGCTTTACGGTGTATAGATTTATTACTTAGAGATATTATGCAAACATCCAACCCCTTCGGTGGTAAGGTTATCTTATTAGGAGGAGATTTCAGACAAACACTTCCTGTTATACCTAGAGGTACTAAAACATCTATATTAGAATCGTGTATAAAATGTTCACCTCTATGGCATATTTTTTTGCAACTTAAATTAAAAGATAATATGAGAATTTTAGACGATGATTCTGAGTACAATAATTGGCTCTTACAAATTGGCGAAGGGAAAACACCAACCTTATCCCCCCTTACTTCCGACTATGTTGAAATTCCTCTAACAATGATAGAGGAATCTTTAATATATTCTATATATGGCGATTTCAATTTACTTAATAATGTTGAATACCTAGCGCAACGTATTATTTTAACAACAAAAAATAAAGTAGCATTGGCATTAAATAATGATATAATTTCAAAATTACCATCTCCAATTAAACATTACTATAGTTCAGACTCATTAATTTCAGATAACGTTGATGATTCTAATAATTACCCCATAGAATTCTTACATTCACTAACACCTTCGGGCATGCCTCCTCATATAAATAATATCCCATTCACCATCGCTAAACCATCTTCATCACCAACAATAGTAAATTCTATTTTATAATTTTAATTTACACGTTTTATTTCAGGTTATTTACGGCAAACTATGTGCAAGGGAATTACAACATCATCTTCAAAAACGACACCACATTGAACAAAGAAAAGAAAACTTCTTCACCATCGCTAAACCATCTTCATCACCAACAACAGTAAATTCTATTTTATAATTTCAATTTACACGTTTTATTTCAGGTTATTTACGGCAAACTACGAGCCAAGGCAAAACATTAACAAATAAAAGTCAAGCTTACATCCCTCTCAATTTTGAAAATATTTTAAATTTTCTTTTTTGGTAAAATTTTTTATATTATAAATTTTATTATATTATATTTTTATATGGCTACAAATGCATATGTGTTGTAACCCGATAATCATCAAGTCTTGAAGTATACATATTTATTATATTTTCTTATAATTCATATCTTTGTCTCTTTTTTTCTATTTCTTCCTTCTTTTGTTCATTCTTTTTCTCATATCTTTGCTCCCCTAAAATCCATCTCCTACCTTCACGCGGTGGGGAGTGAACATCAGACTAACAGGAGCTCTGGTAAATAATGATAGTATTTAGGGTGCTAATAAGAGATATTGTTTCATTAAAAAGAATATTCACCGTCATTTTTGACGGGTTATCAACTAGTGATATAATAATATTCAAAATTACGTTTAAGATGTTAACCTCTCCTATCTAAAATGCTTTTACGACAATTTATTTTTTGAATGGGAAACGTAAAAAAATACATCTAAGTGGTTTTGGATAGGAAACTAAATTCTGAGTTCAATGATATAATAATATTCAAAATTACGTTTAAGATGTTAACCTCTCCTATCTAAAATGCTTTCACGACAATTTATTTTTTGAACGGGAAACGTAAAAAAATACATTTAAGCGGTTTTGGATAGGAAACTAAATTCTGAGTTCAATGATATAATAATATTCAAAATTACGTTTAAGATGTTAACCTCTCCTATCTAAAATGCTTTCACGACAATTTATTTTTTGAACGGGAAACGTAAAAAAATACATTTAAGCGGTTTTGGATAGGAAACTAAATTCTGAGTTCAATGATATAATAATATTCAAAATTACGTTTAAGATGTTAACCTCTCCTATCTAAAATGCTATATATTTTGGATAGAAACTAAATTCTGAGTTCAATGATATAATAATATTCAAAATTACGTTTAAGATGTTAACCTCTCCTATCTAAAATGCTTTCACGACAATTTATTTTTTGAACGGGAAACGTAAAAATACATTTAAGCGGTTTTGGATAGGAAACTAAATTCTGAGTTCAATGATATAATAATATTCAAAATTACGTTTAAGATGTTAACCTCTCCTATCTAAAATGCTTTTACGACAATTTATTTTTGATATAATAATATTCAAAATTACGTTTAAGATGTTAACCTCTCCTATCTAAAATGCTTTCACGACAATTTATTTTTTGAACGGGAAACGTAAAAAAATACATTTAAGCGGTTTTGGATAGGAAACTAAATTCTGAGTTCAATGATATAATAATATTCAAAATTACGTTTAAGATGTTAACCTCTCCTATCTAAAATGCTTTTACGACAATTTATTTTTTGAATGGGAAACGTAAAAAAATACATCTAAGTGGTTTTGGATAGGAAACTAAATTCTGAGTTCAATGATATAATAATATTCAAAATTACGTTTAAGATGTTAACCTCTCCTATCTAAAATGCTTTCACGACAATTTATTTTTTGAACGGGAAACGTAAAAAAATACATTTAAGCGGTTTTGGATAGGAAACTAAATTCTGAGTTCAATGATATAATAATATTCAAAATTACGTTTAAGATGTTAACCTCTCCTATCTAAAATGCTTTCACGACAATTTATTTTTTGAACGGGAAACGTAAAAAAATACATTTAAGCGGTTTTGGATAGGAAACTAAATTCTGAGTTCAATGATATAATAATATTCAAAATTACGTTTAAGATGTTAACCTCTCCTATCTAAAATGCTTTCACGACAATTTATTTTTTGAACGGGAAACGTAAAAAAATACATTTAAGCGGTTTTGGATAGGAAACTAAATTCTGAGTTCAATGATATAATAATATTCAAAATTACGTTTAAGATGTTAACCTCTCCTATCTAAAATGCTTTTACGACAATTTATTTTTTGAATGGGAAACGTAAAAAAATACATCTAAGTGGTTTTGGATAGGAAACTAAATTCTGAGTTCAATGATATAATAATATTCAAAATTACGTTTAAGATGTTAACCTCTCCTATCTAAAATGCTTTCACGACAATTTATTTTTTGAACGGGAAACGTAAAAAAATACATTTAAGCGGTTTTGGATAGGAAACTAAATTCTGAGTTCAATGATATAATAATATTCAAAATTACGTTTAAGATGTTAACCTTTCCCTTCTAAAATGCTTTCACGACAATTTATTTTTTGAATGGGAAACGTAAAAAAATACATTTAAGCGGTTTTGGATAGGAAACTAAATTCTGAGTTCAATGATATAATAATATTCAAAATTACGTTTAAGATGTTAACCTCTCCTATCTAAAATGCTTTCACGACAATTTATTTTTTGAATGGGAAACGTAAAAAAATACATCTAAGTGGTTTTGGATAGGAAACTAAATTCTGAGTTCAATGATATAATAATATTCAAAATTACGTTTAAGATGTTAACCTTTCCTAAATGCTTTCACGACAAAAAATTTTTTTTTACACCGGAAACGTAAAAAAATACATCTAAGCGGTTTTGGATAGGAAACTAAATTCTGAGTTCAATGATATAATAATATTCAAAATTACGTTTAAGATGTTAACCTCTCCTATCTAAAATGCTTTCACGACAATTTATTTTTTGAATGGGAAACGTAAAAAAATACATCTAAGTGGTTTTGGATAGGAAACTAAATTCTGAGTTCAATGATATAATAATATTCAAAATTACGTTTAAGATGTTAACCTCTCCTATCTAAAATGCTTTCACGACAAAAAATTTGTTTTATGAACCGGAAACGTAAAAAAATACATCTAAGCGGTTTTGGATAGGAAACTAAATTCTGAGTTCAATGATATAATAATATTCAAAATTACGTTTAAGATGTTAACCTTTCCTAAATGCTTTCACGACAAAAAATTTTTTTTTACACCGGAAACGTAAAAAAATACATCTAAGCGGTTTTGGATAGGAAACTAAATTCTGAGTTCAATGATATAATAATATTCAAAATTACGTTTAAGATGTTAACCTTTCCCTTCTAAAATGCTTTCACGACAATTTATTTTTTGAATGGGAAACGTAAAAAAATACATTTAAGCGGTTTTGGATAGGAAACTAAATTCTGAGTTCAATGATATAATAATATTCAAAATTACGTTTAAGATGTTAACCTCTCCTATCTAAAATGCTTTCACGACAATTTATTTTTTGAATGGGAAACGTAAAAAAATACATCTAAGTGGTTTTGGATAGGAAACTAAATTCTGAGTTCAATGATATAATAATATTCAAAATTACGTTTAAGATGTTAACCTTTCCTATCTAAAATGCTTTCACGACAATTTATTTTTTGAACGGGAAACGTAAAAAAATACATTTAAGCGGTTTTGGATAGGAAACTAAATTCTGAGTTCAATGATATAATAATATTCAAAATTACGTTTAAGATGTTAACCTCTCCTATCTAAAATGCTTTCACGACAATTTATTTTTTGAATGGGAAACGTAAAAAAATACATCTAAGTGGTTTTGGATAGGAAACTAAATTCTGAGTTCAATGATATAATAATATTCAAAATTACGTTTAAGATGTTAACCTTTCCCTTCTAAAATGCTTTCACGACAATTTATTTTTTGAATGGGAAACGTAAAAAAATACATTTAAGCGGTTTTGGATAGGAAACTAAATTCTGAGTTCAATGATATAATAATATTCAAAATTACGTTTAAGATGTTAACCTTTCCCTTCTAAAATGCTTTCACGACAATTTATTTTTTGAATGGGAAACGTAAAAAAATACATTTATGCGGTTTTGGATAGGAAACTAAATTCTGAGTTCAATGATATAATAATATTCAAAATTACGTTTAAGATGTTAGCCTTTCCCTTCTAAAATGCTTTCACAACAATTTATTTTTTGAATGGGAAACGTAAAAAAATACATCTAAGCGGTTTTGGATAGAAAACTAAATTCTGAGTTCAATGATATAATAATATTCAAAATTACGTTTAAGATGTTAACCTTTCCCTTCTAAAATGTTTTCACGACAATTTATTTTTTGAATGGGAAACGTAAAAAAATACATCTAAGTGGTTTTGGATAGGAAACTAAATTCTGAGTTCAATGATATAATAATATTCAAAATTACGTTTAAGATGTTAACCTCTCCTATCTAAAATGCTTTCACGACAATTTATTTTTTGAACGGGAAACGTAAAAAAATACATCTAAGCGGTTTTGGATAGATATCTAAATTCTGAGTTCAATGATATAATAATATTCAAAATTACGTTTAAGATATTAACCTCTCCTATTCTAAAATGCTCTCACGACAATTTATTTTTTGAACGGGAAACGTAAAAAAATACATTTAAGCGGTTTTGGATAGGAAACTAAATTCTGAGTTCAATGATATAATAATATTCAAAATTACGTTTAAGATGTTAGCCTTTCCCTTCTAAAATGCTTTCACGACAATTTATTTTTTGAACGGGAAACGTAAAAAAATACATCTAAGCGGTTTTGGATAGAAAACTAAATTCTGAGTTCAATGATATAATAATATTCAAAATTACGTTTAAGATGTTAACCTCTCCTATCTAAAATGCTTTCACGACAATTTATTTTTTGAATGGGAAACGTAAAAAAATACATCTAAGTGGTTTTGGATAGGAAACTAAATTCTGACTTCAATGATATAATAATATTCAAAATTACGTTTAAGATGTTAACCTTTCCTATCTAAAATGCTTTCACGACAAAAAATTTGTTTTATGAACCGGAAACGTAAAAAAATACATCTAAGCGGTTTTGGATAGGAAACTAAATTCTGAGTTCAATGATATAATAATATTCAAAATTACGTTTAAGATGTTAACCTTTCCCTTCTAAAATGCTTTCACGACAATTTATTTTTTGA